TCATGAAACTGAAAAGCTTCTGTAAAGCAAAAGACACCGTCATCAGAACAAAACGACAGCCTACAGACTGGGAAAAGGTCTTCACCAACCCTATATCTGACAGAGGACTGATATCCAGAATATATAAAGAACTAAAGAAGTTAAGAAGCAATAAATTAAGCAATCCAATCAAAAAAATGGGATACAGAGCTAATCAGAGAATACTCTGTAGAGGAATATAGAATGGCAGAGAAACACTTAAAGAGATGCGTAACGTCCTTAGCCATCAGAGAGATGCAAATCAAAACACCCCTGAGATTTCACCTTACACCCATCAGAATGGCTAAGATCAAAACTCAAGTGACAACACATGCTGGAGAGGTGGTGGGGAAAGGGGAACCCTCCTCCATTGCTGGTGGAAATGTAAACTTGTACAACCACTTTGGAAATCATTCTGGTACTTTCTCAGACAACTAGGAATAGTGCTTCCTTAAGATCCAGCTATACCACTCCTAGGCATATATCCCAAAGATTCTCAAGTACACAACAATGACATTTGTTCAACCATGTTTGTAGCAGCTTTATTCATAATAGCCAGAACCTGGAAACAACCCAGATGTCCATCAACAGAGAAATGGATACAGAAATTGTGGTACTTTTACACAATGAAACACTACTCAGCAATTAAAAACAAGGAAATCATGAAATTTGCAGGCAAATGGTGGGACCTAGAAAAGGTCATCCTGAGTGAGGTATTCCAGAAGCAGAACCACACACACACTATATACTCACTTATAAGTGGGTATTAGACCTATAAGATAGAGGAGAAATCTAGTAAAATCTCTATACCCAAAGAAGATAAACAGTAAAGAGTGTCCAGGGTAAGATGATCAATCCTCACTTAGAAAGACAAATGGGATGGACATTGGATGTAGAAGAAAACAAGTAACAGGACAGGAGCCTACCACAGAGGGCCTCTGAACAACTCTACCTAGCAGTGTATCAAAGCAGATGCTGAGACTCATAACCAAACCTTCGGCAGAGCACAGGGAATCATATGAAAGAAGGGGAGTTAGTACGACTTGGAGAGGACAGGAGCTCCACAAGGATCAAATATAGCAGGGCACAAGGGTCTTTTATGAGACTGTATCTCCAACCAAGGATCGTGTATGGATAAAACCTAGAACCCCTGCTCAGATGTAGCCCATGGTAGCTCAGTATCCAAATGGGTTTCCTAGTAAGGGAAACAGGGACTATCTCTGACATGAACTCAATGGCTTCCCCCCTTCCAATGGAGGAGCAGCCTTGCTAGGCCACAGAGGAGGACATTCCAGCCAGGCCTGAAGAAACCTGATAAGCTAGGGTCAAATGGAAGGGGAGGAGGACCTCCCCTATCAGTGTACTTGGAAAGGGGCAGGGAAGAGATGAGGGAGGGAGGGTGGGATTGGGAGGGAATGAGGGAGCGGGCTACAGCTGGGGTAGAAAGTTAATAAATTGTAACTAACATTAAAAAAAAAAGAACAAATGTCCAAAGATTACTGTAATAATTAGAAAACGTATGTTCAGTGTTTTTCAGTCAAATTTGAAAAATATGTTTATGTAATTTTCTAGATTTGCAATACAAATCTATATCAGCTGGAAAACAATTAAAATGCAGGTTTTAATTTCTCTTTTCAAGATCAAAGCACTGAGCTGTCTAACTAATCTTTGGAAAACACAAGAAAAGAAAAATCATTTTCTAATTGGTTTTGGAAATGTAAAGTTTGAATTTATTGCTAGAGGATGTAGACTTAATACAACAGATATTTTTTTGAGAACTATTACAAAATGAATTAGAATATGGGCACCTTCACTCTAATGCCAGCAAGTGTACTCAAGGCATGAAAACCCAGGGTTTGAAGCCAGTTTGGACTATACATGAAGCCTCTTGTAGCCCCAACCATATTTTTTTTCTGTGTGCACTCACACACTAGCAGTTATTATTAAGAAAAGACAAAACTGCCTTACTCCTATCTGGGTCAATCTCTACTTCTTGCTACTGTAACACAAATGCCTTTTCATTCCATTTACACTACTGATTTCAAGCAAATCATAAGAAAAATGGGGCTATTTGAGGAAATAAATTTTCTTTATTCTTAGAAAATCTTTTATGGCAGATTTCTTTTTTATTATTTCTTAACTTCTTTATGAGAGAGGGCCTGTGTAGAACAGCTGGCCGGGAACTCGCTTCATAGCCAAGGATGGCTCTGAACTCCTACTCTTCGTGCCTTAAGGCTTTCCAAATGCTGGAATTATAGGCCTGTAATTCCACATGCCCCACCCAATGAGACTTCTGGACACATACTTTCTTATTCAGTCTTACTTTGCAGAAACATCTTGGTATCTCTTTACATTTTATAAGTTGGCAAAGTTTACTGAGAAAAACAGAAATTATAGTAATCTTTACAACTCTACAGCACTTTCAAGAGTCTGTGTAATAAAGAGGCTCTAATAGAAAAGAATGGCGGTTAAGCTTGTCATGAGGTGACTGTAGCTCACCTTTTGGAGTCCATCACTCAAGTCAACCAACCACAGGGTAGCTTCCCCGCTCTTTCCCTCTTAATTTCACAGACATGTCTAGAGTAACCCTTGCTCAGTGGAGTGGGGAGTTGTTCGAGACACAGGCAGATCTCCAGGCCAGCCAATCTCTGAATGCCTGCCTCACTGACCCATCAGGACACTGTCTCAAAAAGTAAGGTGAAAGCCTAGGATGCCTGGTGTCACGCTCTGACGTCCACATACAAGGGCAGGTGCACATGTGATGAAATCCCCCCTCAATTCATTGGGTCTATGGAAAATGTCATTAAAAGTTAAAAGTTTATAAGTAGTTCTAATTAACAATTTTATCTACCAAGAAACTAACACTTAGAAGCAAACACAATGTTTTAGCATGTCATACACCTTCATAATTAATTATAATTAATTAATTCACTTTTCCCTAATATGTATGATTTCCAGACAATTCTTAATTGCTCTGAAATATTTTCCAATAAAATTAAGGTGCCTGATACTAAAAACAGACTGAGGAATTCTCTGTAAGCAAAGAAAGACTTTGAGAGTAGACGACTTACTTTTATAAACCCAGCGACCCAGTGACTACTTAAATACTTGTCTCAAGCTTTGAACTTACTTCTCTCTGGGCTTTATATTAGAAAATATGAACATACAAACTTCAATAAGGGATCCTATCCATCTTTATGCTGAAAGAACCTTCGGTATTAGAGGATGTTATTCACTACTGTGAGACTCACCAAATAGTACACTATTAACTCAGCTTGAGTCCATCAGTGATTCTATAAAAATGACATAGCCAAGCCATTAAAGTGACAAAACTCACATTTCCTACAGAAGGTGGGTTTTATGGAAATGGATCATAGCCTGTACATATAATCTAATGCCAGTTCAGCAAATTTTTAAGACATAGACTTAAGTTCAGAAGCATCAGATTATTTAAAATTCCACAGGGTGTCTTTATTAATAAGATCTTTATAGTGAAAATCAACTGGTTCTAGCCTTTGGCAATGGTTCTGGCCAAGGTGTGGTAGAAAAGAATCTAAAATCTCGGAGGCATTTGGAGCTTTAAACAGCAAGACCCAGAAAGAGTTATTATACACAGAAAAGGTAAAATAAAGTTCAAAAACAGACATATTAACAATCAATACAATTATCGTGCTTCTCCTACTGGTTTTAGCTGGGAGCAACTGTTAACAGAGAATGAGGAAAAGAGGGCGGGTGTGGCGTTTCATCATAGGGAATCACACTCAAGAGTACGACAAGGAGGAAGTGGAGGCTGATTTTAAGAGGACCTGAATACTGAAAGCTGACATCAAACTGTTCTTCAGATCAAATCAACGTCAACTTATGGTCTTGATAAGCACTCTACCATAAGGCCTTCAAAGCACAAAGCCAATTTTAATACACGATGTGCTTCTTAAAAAACAATATACCCATTCTCTTGCTTTGGTGTAATTAACATTCCAGGAGAGTGCAACTGCCCAGTGTCAGCACAGAGCTCTAGCACAAAACCAGCAGATCATCGCAACACAGAGCAATTCCGTGTGCACAACTGTGTGTGGCGGGCCTGGGAAATTTTGGCCTTCAGTCATTCTTGAGCACAGGCAACCGACATCAAGGCTCCCAACTGCGGGTCAGAAGACTCCCTGTCGGTCCTTTGCAAGCACTTAACTTTCTAGAGAAGTACGTAACAATAGCTGGTGCATCTGCCATCATAGTTTAGCTAACATAAAAAAGTAATACTTCAGGTACCAAGGAACAGAAAATAAATAGGAATGGGAGAGGGCAGGATGTGAAAGAGTTTGGAGGGAGGAGAGGGGGGAGAGAAGTGTTGTGATTAAAATACAATCTCAAAAATAAGCAAAAAGATAATAATTAGGATATGATTCATTTTGTTAAATCCTAAGTGAACAGTAGGTTAAGAAAAACACAGCAACAGTAAGGTAGGTAGTAGGCAGCTCTGAGGGAGATGGCATTTGACTGCCAACAGAGAGAAAAGGATATAGTTTCAGTAGAGGCTGAGGTAATGGCTGCTATAATCACCCAGATCAGGTAGAATGAAACAGTAAAGTCCCCAACAGCTGCCTAAAAAGACTGAGTCAGCTATGAGATCAAGAGAAGTTATATGAATAATACTGTAGAAATCGTAAATGGAAAGCAATGAATTAATTTCACTTCATAAACATACCATGCAATGAGTTTAAAACATGAGCATATTTTGTCAAATGAACCATTTAACATCAATATGAACTATTTAGACTTCATAGTTAACATCAAACTACAGTTATTCTTTATTAATATGCTTGGTATTAAAGAATAAAGCTACTTTAAAATCAGCGCATATTTATGCTCATTTATTAAGAAAACCTGAATGGCACCAATGTTACGCGAATCCTTTTCAAAAGTGACTATCTCAAAGAACAGGAATGTACTAACTAGTGTCAAATAATCCTAAATGCAGCACTTACAATCAAACTTCAGGATCCAGCATCCATTGAGAATCCCAAGCATACACTTCAAAGTACTCTGAGCTTCCTCCTCAGGAACAATGACATGAGTTACTAAGATAAAAGAAAGCAGTAAGGAAAATAGAAACAGAGCAAAGCAATTGTCTACTTCTTATAGCGAGTTACAAACTTACACTTAAGTTTTCTTCAAAGGCAACTTTTAAATGTATATAATGTTTCTTTTCAGATCACAAAACAAATTAACAAGTAAAAATTTTTCAGCTACTTTCAAATGATTTATGGTATTAGACTGTATTATAATTGATTATTAACAAACTCAAAACTCTGTTACTCTGACAGTGCTCTGTCCTAAACTATGCATAAGGCTTAATATGTAGTTAACAGACAATAGTGCACTTGCCTCCTAGCATGTGAACAGCCTGGGTTTTTCCCCAGCACCACAAAAACAAACAAAATAAACACTTTACATTAAAACTACAAAGTATACAAACATTTCAGATAACAAGATGCAAAATGTATAACCACAACCCCATGCTTAAAACATATTTAAATTATCAGAAGTCATACTTTAAAGGGACTAACTTAAAATTCTTTTCAACCAACCAAACAAACAAACAAAAAAACCAAACTTCTCACCTGTACTGTCAAACTCAGCACACTTTTTAGCCTTAAGAACTTTCTCAAGTTTGCTGAGCATCTCCTGTTGTTGTGAAGAAAGCCCACTGCCTATAAATACCAGTGGCCCATTCTTTCGCTGCCCAGCATTCACCTGTTAGTGGAAAATGGAGAGGCACCATGGTAAAACCATGTAAGGAACAGAGAGAAGGCACAAACTCATGTGACAAAAGATCTATTTCATGAGCTACCTTACTCCAGGTAATAATCCCCTGGAATTACTTAGTGAATCGGCACCCACATCCCTAATACTGAACGTACTTGAATAACTTTTTCTATTTATTTTCCTCCCAAGTCAATGTGAGTTTGAACAGCTCTCTCCACCCAGGCAAGCGTCTTTCCCTGATGCTGAACTGAATTCCTGTAGGGTTTTATAATTTCATACTGTCCCCAGTAACCTAAAATAACCATTAAAAATGACCATTTCACATCTCTCCTCCAAAGAGTTAAACCCAAACTTGGTCTACTCAGTTTAAGTTAAGATTATTTTGAAAATCAGCACTAATTCTAAAGAAAACAACTAAATTTTTAAATTTGAAACAAAAAGATGAAATGATGACTCCAGAAAGCAGATGCACAAACAGGAGGGATCCCTGTTGCTCCTAAGAAAGAAAGGATGACTTACAGACACTAATGCTTTCGGGTTATCATCTAAACTCAGCACTTATAGAAGACAAATAGAAAGCACAAGTGAACAGAGAAGGGACAATTCAGAGAAACAATGACACAGTGGAACATCCAAAAGACTGAACAAACAGAACTAGAGTGAGAGTTAGACAAAAGCTGCCTGTGAAAGAAAAGGAATGATCCAGAGAGGAAAATGCAAAACCAGCAAGCACTACTATACGAAGGACAAGACGCCACACACCACACAAGACATTGGGCCTTTGCATGCCGTGAGTGCAACGTGAACTGGAAAGCTGGGCTTTTAAACACCGCAAAAAATGAAGGAAACAGCAAAGGCACAGACACCAACTAGATGAGAGGAGACGAGTATTTAAACATTAACTTCACACATCAGAATAGTGATAACTTATTCAAACTCCCTGTACATAGGACAGTGAAACTGCTGCTTAAATCTGTAAACAGTTGAATCAATTCATTCAAAATAAATGAGATCTACTATACACTTAGCACACAAAAATATCATGATAAGGTTTTTAAGTGACAATCCTCGGCACTTAAGTTCAGCAAGTTACAGTTCTGAAAACAAAAGTTTGACTGGACACCCACAGAGACATTACTAGTCTCTGTAAGAAAATACAGCCAAGTCAAATGCAAACAGTGTTAAACTCTATAACATGAAAATAGCTTGATATTATTTTTTAAAATAATTTAATTATGGTATTAAAAATCAATTGTCAAAAATTCTTGTCTTTAAATGAGTGCCATCAAAATAGCTCTGCAGAGAACACACTGCTTCTTGATTTACATGACTCTACTTTAGCTAAATTAGTTCTTTGCATGAAATGCAAGAGTGAAAATATATCATTTCTAAATATAGCATGTGATACTATTTCTGCCATCCAAAGGAAGTATCAAAGTGGGACAAGCATTTTCCTATCATAGTCTTTTTAAAAAATGTGCATAAAACTGGTACTAATTTCTGATAGTTAGGGAATGCTATAGTAACAGCTGCCAAAATCACATGGTAGCCTGGGATTGCACATCACAGGGACTGAGGGTCTAATTCAAGTAAGGGGCTCAAAGCCAAGATGCTCAAACAAATTCAAAGGTAATACCCTCATTTATAGGTCCTTCTTCGATTCCCAAGCTATCATTTGGAACACATTTTTCAGACTGAGGTCTAAAACAAAAGATAAAGGGTTCTCAGGGTGGTCTCACAAAACTGCACTGTGACCACAGCAAGTTCTAACTACGTCATGCTAATCTGTAGTCAGGCAATGGCATCAGCCACTACTGCTCTGCTCTTTCTGGATGAAGACAGATCTGCAGAACAGTCTTGGCTTCATCTCCGCCCGACAAGGCCCAGCAAAGCAGGCTGGGTTGAGTGAGTCTGGTAGCGGCTAGAGGAATCCCATCTCAGACATTACCTCACAACGGTTACACACGACTTAGTATTTCCACCCACACAGATTTGTTTGTCATTCATCAGCGTCCCTAGCCACGCGTCAATCATTCAAACAATAAGAATGCTCGGTCATAGTTGTGTGCACCTTTTATCATCTGAATACAAATATAGTGAGTTCACTGGGTCTGTCTCTTCTCTCCATCCTCATCTCACTATCATCACCCATAATTTCAGACCCCACTAATCGTAGACATCGCCACAGCAGCCTCCACTGAGCTGAGTTTCTTCTGACTCCTTGCTGTTCTGCAGACCAATTTGTTGCAGGTGTAAACACACTGATGATTCCCCATTATATCTAAAGGCCCTATTAAGAAAGTTAGGCCTTTCACAAGCTGACCCCAATCTTTTTCACCCTGCAACTACTTTAACATTCTCTATGTTCCCTGTACACTAAACCCTGTAGTTCTTTAAATTTAAGGGCTTTTTATGCCTCCTTTCCTCTAAAAAGCTATAGCAGTGGGCCATGCTGGCTTACAACACAAAACCCATTCTTCCATCTTCTACACTAAAAAGACCAGATTTTGTTCAGGTAGCTGCCCTATAAGATCTGCCCCATGTCTGTCCCTGGATACGTCAAAACTAATTTGTGGCCAGTTCTAACCAATGAAACACAAAAAAGATCTCAGCAAAGGCTCGAAGAAAACAGTTTGGTGCCTTCCATCTGGCCACTGTCACACCTAGAGCTGCAGCAATCAGCCTACATGAAGACATACAAGTAACAACAGAGATGCTAAGTCAAGGACAGCGAGTAAGGGAAACCAGTGGGATCTCAGTGCAGTCACAACCGCCGATGGAATGCTCTTTGTAAGAGTCAAAAGTTTCAGAATTGGAGTGTTCTGTTAATTTCCATGACAGCATTCATCAGTTCTTTCCCTCAGACATCCTCTGGGAAGTTCTTCCTGACAGCTTCTGAAGTGAGCTTGCTTCCACTGCACATGTGACAGCTTCTGCACATTTTGTTGCTTTTATTATATATCGCAATTTATAACAGACTTTTTACATTTATCTTATACCTTCTACTTGCCTGTGTGTTCCCGAGGAATGGGTCTTTTTTCCACTGTCTCTAGCTTGTACCTCTTGTCTAATTCACAGGCTCACATATCCAACTACTATGTCACAGCTCCATCACCAGACATAAAATTGGAACGGGGGATGAAAGATCCCCCTACCTATGGCAGCAAATGGATTCCACTCATTTCTCACTCACCACAGAAAATCCAAGAAAAAGTGCTGCCAGAGAAAACAAATACTGAGCTTTACTACTTACAGACTGTCAATGCTATTCACTGAGATGGAGTCATGTTGGCACTTGTTTGTCACAATCCTAAGTGTTATTTCTCCCAATCCTGCACAGACTCCCTTTTGTAAATCAAAAGAGCAAATGCTCAGAACAAAATTCAACTCTGTCACTCCTGCACTCTGAAACCTTTCAATGGTTTCCATTCTCAGACTCTCACTATCTGCAACAATAACAAATTCTGCAATCTTCAAGCATGCCCGTTCATCTATTTGAGGGTCTCTATACAATTTCCTTTACGTGGTTACCTGGTTGCCTCCTCCTTATAATTCAAGTTTCAGTTCAAATTGGTTCTTAAAAGGCCCTCACTAATGCAGTGTCCTTCAGGAGCCTCACATCTCTACCCAATTACACACTACGAAACCACCCTGAAAGCACTTGTGTACCCACTTTTGAAATAACTGCACTGATAAATTTACATATTCTTGAGCCGTTTTTTTTTTTTTTTTCCTCTACCTCTTACTGGCAAGCAAGTTCCTTGAAATATAAGAGTTACTTTAGTCAAATTCATTATTGTATGAATGCTGCCCAAAATACAAATAGTTCAATAAATATTTCTTGACAGACTTATTCTGATTATGTCTCTCAATCCATAATAGTCAGTACTCTGGAAGTGCTCAAAAATTGGTGAATGAAAGCTATTTGCTAACTGGAAGTTTTCCTATTATGTTCCTTTCATAACCAAACAACATAAATGTCCCAAAGCTATATCCATACTTACGACTGAGCACTGGCTAGTTGAGAATGATTCATTCTTCTCTGGTAGCAGCAACAGTGATCTTATATTTTCATTGTCTGTATAATCCACAGGCCGTACACCAAATATGTTACTAGTAAAATAAGTGCAGAGGATTTAAGTAAATAAAATGTGCAACTTCATCCTTAGCAAACAAACATACTTCCAGAACTACTTTTCAAAATCCTTAATAATACACAATTGTAACTAAGGTGACTCAGCTATCAAGTGCTACTACGTTTAGTTAGGAAGAAAAGGAGGAAGCGGGACTACCATCTCCATTCTCTGGGGACTCAGCTTCCTGGTGAGGACCCTGATTTTCTCTGGTTCTTCCCTGCAGCCCCCTTCACCCTTTCCTTCTAGTCCACCTCCATTCCTCTGTGACACTGCCCACCCACAGAACAGCTCTCAACCAGAGACCCACAGCATCCACATGAGGCTGGAACTCAGAGAGGCAACATTTACCCCCCTTCCCGTCCTCCATTAAGGTCTCTCCAGCCTGTCTGGAAGGGTTCCTTCTCCCAGCCCATTCCATCCCTTTAGGGGTGTGGCCTCTTAGAGCAGACCCAGGTTCCCTATGGCCCCTTCCAGCTTTTCCTTCTAGCTCATCTCTACTGCATTGAGACTCTCCACCAACCCACAGAACCTCTCTCTACCAGAGACCCCAAGGCTAGAATACAGAATCTGTACCAGGAAGCCCAGCGCCATGACACTTGGCTGGGACTCAGAGCCTCCTTCTAACCCAGCTCCATCCCCTTGGGACTCAGCCTCTTAGTGTGGACCAGAGTCTGCCTAGTTCTCTAGACAATGGAAAGACAGCAAGGAATACAAACAAAAAAGGAGGAGGTCAAAGTATCCTCATGATGTCTTTTAAAGTTATGACCCTAACACAGTGACACTGGGAGACTTGAACACCTTACTCTTGTCAATGGGCAGACAAAAACTAATGCCATAGTTAAGTAAAATCATAAATCAAATGGATATAATAGACCATTACAGAACATTCCACCCAAACACTAAAGATTATGCTTTCTTCTCAGCAACCCACAGAACCTTCTAAACCAACTCAGATTAGGGTACAAAGCAAACCTCAACATAAAAAAAAAAAGAAGCAATTGAAAGAAAATCCCACAGCCTATCTGATGAACATGAGTTAAACCTGCATATCAGCAGTAGAAACCGCAGAAAGTATACAAACGCATGGAAGCTCAACAACTCATAACTGAATGAAAAAAAAAAAATGGTCAGGACAAAAATCAAAAAGAAATTTAAAACTTTAATTGAATGAGAGTGAAAACACAACATACACAAACCAACCGGACACAGTGAAGGCACATCCAAGAGACAAGTTCACAACAATAAATGCCTGCACCTCTTAAAGAGATTTTATACTAGAAACTTAGTGACACACCTGAAAGCTCTAGGAACAACAACAAAAAACTAATACCCCAAATAGGAGAAGGCAAGGAAAATCAAACTCAGAGCTGAAAACAGTGAAAGAGAAACAACAACAAATAAAAAGACTCAATGAAATGAGTAGACAAAAGTGGGTAAAATCTAGGAGGGGTTGGGAAGAGGAGATAATGTGATTGAATATATTCTGTAAAATACTTTAAATGGAAATTTTCAGTTTGATACCAATCAAGGGAGTATCTTTAACTGAAGAGAACTTACCTCTAAACTTTTCACAATTCTGTTCTTTGTATCATATTTTCATTTCCTAATGGTTTCCTGGTCATTAATCACCATGGGTGAGATGCTTTCATGTGCAAACATAAATCATTTACTAGAGCTACTGTGGGTGCTATTGTCTACATAAACAAATACAAATTTATGTATTAACAGGAAAGCCACATGGATCCACTATAAGGAAAACTACACCACAGAACAAACAACTAAAAAAGGAACGAATAGGGCGCTTTTAGAAATGTGCGTGTTTGTGTATGTGTGTAGGGGTCGGTGCAAGCATGTGTATTCAATCTAGTGGAGATAAACTTTGGACACTATAAAGCAAACTAATGTGGTTCAGAGAACAGCCTGATGCAGATCTCTGAACACACACTGCTTTACAAGTCACGGCATGTTATACTGAAGAGATTTCAAATGGGTCACAGTATGACCCATTATTTCACAGACCGTAAGACAGAGCGACAGGTTCCACTGATCTGTTTAGGTCATATTTGTCTTGTATACTCGGTTATAGTCAATATTGCCCATGCTTAATATGTTCATTGTAAATAATTTGTTAAAGCTACAGCACTTGGCCAACCAGTTCTCTTTACAGTGTGAGAATATTTTAAAATATATTTTAATATACCATACTATGGTATTAAGCTCCTAAAATGAAGCTACCTTTCGTAATATCTACGGTTTTTAAGAGCATGGCATGTACATATGCCGTTAGAGTTCAGGAGGCCTGGGTATATAATTTGGTGGTTCCATGCCTGTCAAACATGCATAATACTCTAGGTTTGATCCAGAGCACTGAAAACAAGTGAAAATATAGTGGATTAAATGGGAAACAAAAACATTAACAAGGCATTATACCAATTCTATGAACTGAATACAGTGTGTAGAAAACATTTTAAAGAAAAAGAATAGGGGAAGAAGGAGAAGGGAAAGTGTCAAAGTGCTGGATGAGTCACACAAGTCACACATGTAAGGATCTAAGCCTCTCCAGAGCCAATGACCTTGGTGAAAGCTATTATAATGGCATCTTGGGAAGAGAGCTAGTGGATTAAGATAAGAAATGAGCCACGGCAAATCTCTCAGGACAGCTATTTATGACCACCAGGCTCAGCTTCTGTCTTCTTTCAGCAGTGCTGAATAAGCAGTGACAACTCTGCCTTCTCAGGATCCCCTCTATGCCCAGGTCCACAGCAGTATGTGCCTTTCCCTGCAACATACCTTCTCCAGTCAAGGTAAAAGGCAACTGCATTTTAGGTACCTTATTTACAATAATGCAACCCAAGCCACTGTCTACGGTTAGAGCAGGCAGTGTCAGAGCATTTCAAAAGGATCCCATCCACTTATTGGAGACTTCCCAATTTCATTCTATTACGTTTACATACTAAAGTTACTGTCTCCTCACATACATACACTAAAAATGACATTCAAAGCTTTGACACCTGATTTGAAGAATCAATATTCTACTTGTTAAACCACCAACTCAAAAATGGATAAACAAAGTCATAGTATGTTCTGTCTTATATGTGAATACACACAAACACGTACACAGCACACGAGGATTGAAAGCAGATTTCAGATCTCAAAGAAAAGCTTAATCAAGTGAACTTTAATAATATACAGTAACTGATGATATTAGTGTTTATTTACAAAAGCAGAAATAAAAATTTCCTATGACAACATCAAAAAACTGCTAAGTGGAAGTCCTTCACAACCTATCACCATCAGCCAGTCTAAGTAAATAAGTAAATAAATAGGGGGGAATCCCAGATGGCAGAGCCGACCACGCAGGGTATCTGAACAACAGATCAGCAGTGTGAGCAGGGTAACTGGCGGGCTATACTGAGGACCCCAAAAGCCCCGACATCTGTGTTTATCAAGTGAGAGGAGAATCCACGGGGACACTTGAAGGTCCATCATCAGGCCACCCTGCTTATACCGGAAAAACTCCGGGTGGACGCTTGGCACTGCCTCAGCACTAGGCTACCTGCCCAATCACACCACCTGCGGATACTTTCCAGGGACCGGCTGCAGCGGTCTGGGCTCTGACCCTGCAGCCCTAGGCCACTCGCCCAAACTCACCATTTGTGGATATATTCCTGGGACCAGCAGCAGGGGAACATGACAGGGGAGGCTCCTACCCTGTAGCCTTAGGCCACTGGCCCAAATCCACGAGGACCTGCCGCAGCAGTTCGCTCGGTTCCGACCCCACAGCCCTAAGACACCCATTGGAACCCACCATCAGTGGATACTTTCCTGGGACCCGCACCATGAACCGAGGGGGTGGGGGAGGAGCCTTAGGCCACCCACCTGCCCAAATACACCATCTATGGGTACCTTCCAGGACGGGTAGCAGCGGGGCACGCTTGGTTCTGACCCCGCAGCCTTAGGCCGCCCACTGCCCAACCCCACTTTCCGTGGCTATCTTCCTGGAACCAGAGCCAGGCAGCTCTGACCTTGGGCACTCACCCTCACTACCTGTGGAATGAATACCTTCCAGTACTGTGGTTGGACTCCAAACCTCGGCACCCACTCTCACAGTCCTGTGGGCACCTTCTGGGTACTAGAGGCTCCTGTTCCCAAACCCGGGAGGCCACACTCAACATCCTGTGGACATCTTCCTGGTCACAGCGACTAGTGGCGCTCACTCTCACTGCCCAGTGGAAGGGATACATTCTGGTACTGCGGGGAAGGTGCAGCTCCATTCTGTCTGCTCCCCGCCGGCCTGGCTCACCCAGGTCAGAATCAACCAGCACAGCCCAAACAGTGAACACAGTGGAGCTGAGCTAGGCTTGGGACCCGGGTTCCATTCCCCACCATCTAAGGGAAGCCTGAGGGACACGGGAGCAGCTCTAGGCACAGGGATCTATCCCGCAGTGCCCCAGCATCCTGGCTCACATAGGCCAGCATCAGCGAGACCAGCACAGGCAGAGAACCCAGTGCAGCTGAGCTAGGCACCTACTAACCAAATTTCCATTGTCCTCCTCCCAAAGGAGGTCTGTGGGGCACGAGAGCAGCTCTAGGCCAGGAGATCTTTCTGCCTGTTCCCAGCAGCCTAGGTCACCTGGGTCAAAACCACACCCCCCCCCAAAAAAAAATGGAGCCAAAACAGCCAGTGAACCCAGCGGAGCTGAGCCAGGTCTGGGACCCAAATCCCATCCTCTACCTTCTTAAGGAAGCCTGTGGGACACTGGGGTAGCTCTAGACCCAGAGATCTTTCCGCCTGTGCCCCAGCTACCCGGGTCACAAACAGCCAGCAGAGACAGTGATTCCAGGGGAGACTACGCAAGACTCCAGAGACAGGTGGATCCAGTTTGTAATACAGGCTCCAAGAATACTCAGTTAAGGCTACAGACAACCATACAGGCAACAAAACCCAAAAGTCAATGAATATATTACTGCAGCTGA